CTTTAAAGGGGTTAAGAGGGCTAAGCTTTAAGGGCTAAGGCCTCTTAGTTAGGTCTTTTAGGACCCTTAGTATCGCGAATAGCTCTATATTAGCTACTTTAATTAAGGGCCTTAGGTTCTTATAGTATACCTTAATAAGCCTATTTTCTAAGCTTATTTTATAAAAGGAGTAAGCGTTAGTCTCTATAAAGGACCCCTTAAAGTACTCCTTAAAGCTATTAGTATAGAAAGCTAAGGGCTATAACCTAAGGTCTTTTAAGCTAGCTAAGCTAGCTAAGAGGTATTAGTATTACTTTTTAGCTAAGGGCTTAAGGTCTTTATTATTATAATAAAGGCCTTAGGCTCTAAGGCTTATAGGGCACCTAGCTAGCTTTCCTTCTTTCTAAGTTATAATTAGGTCTTATAAGAGCTACTAGGCCTTTAAGGAAGTAAGAGAGCTATATATATAGCCTAATATAGCTTAAGGCCCTTAGGTCTATAAGAATATACCCTTATATTCTTATTTTACTATTATAAAGAAATAGTAAGTATAAGTAAGCTCTATAAAATAAGCTAGTAAAAAGAAGCTCTATAATATAGTTTAAGGGTATAACCCTTAAAGAAAAAAGACCTTTACTTAATATCTATACTATCCTTTAAGAAACGCGGGTTAAGATAAGCTTATCCTAATAAATAAAAATATATATTTTATATATAAGTTAATTATAAGTAGATCGGATACCCTATTACTTATTTTAGCTTAGCGGTTTTAAAGATATCCGCGATATAAGAATAAGTAAGGCATAAAATATTCTAGTTAAATCTACTACTTATACTAAAACTTATAGTCTTACGTTAACTATTACGCTATAATTAAACTACCTATTAAGTTAGAAAGATATATTATAGATAAAGCTCTTTTAGTACTATAGAATATATTAAAAGGCTAACTAATTAGTCTATTAGTAGGCGAGTAATAGTTTATAAAAGATAAAGGATTTCCTTAGGAGTAGTAAATAAAAGATATAAGTTTATAAGTATCTTTTATAACGCTATTCTTTTAATATATTATTTAGCCCCTTATATACTTATTATAAATTCCGGATGAAATCCTACCCTATAATCCTTAAACCGAACTTTCTACTTATACTATTAATTACCCGATCCGACGCTTATTACTTATACCCTTTTATACTAATAAGTTAATTAAAAAAGCCTTTAAGATTAAGCTTTCTTTTCTTCTTCCTTTTTAGCTATAGATTAGTAGTTATAGTATATACCTTATAGTTATAGGTATAAAGGTAAGCTAGTAAGGCCCTCTTTTTTATAAAGAGCTTAAGGGGGGATTTCTAGTTTATTTCTTAGGTAGTCCCTTTAAAGGTCTAGTTCTATAAGTAGTAACTAGTCTTAATAACTTCCCTTTAAAGGTTATAGGGAAGCTTTATAGTAAGTCTTATTATATAGGCCCTTTTTATTATAGTGCCCCTTAATATTTTTACCCTTTTATTTTAAGCCTAGGTATTTAGTATTAATAGGAGGGGTAAAATACCTTTTTTTAAAGCTAATTTAAAATATCCTTTATAAATAGCGCTTTATTAAACCGTATCTTCTATACCTTATAGCTAAAGTAGGATTTTATCTAGTTAATAAAGTCTTAAAGGGTAAACTAGTTATACTTACTTAGGTAGGTTTATAAGAAATAAGAAAAACTACCCTTAAAAAAGTATCGATAAAAAATATTACCTTAATAAAGCTTTCTTAGTCTTTAAAAAAGTCGGTTTAGTCGACTTAAATTTTATTATATAGCTAGTTTAGCTATATAAGGGTTCGTTTAAAAATCCGTTTTTTAGTCTTTTATTAGCTATAGTATTTATATTTAATAGTCTTTAAGCCCTTAATTTATACGCCTTATTATTTACCTAGCTTATATAAAGCTAAGGGGCCTAGGTAACTAAGTTATATCTACTAAAGATAACCGTCTCCTTAAGCTATTAAAAGAGGGTCCTTTATAGTAGACTTATTTTTCTTAGTAGGGAAAGCTAACTTCTTAAGAGATTCCTTCTTAAGGATAGGTTAGAATTAAAGAATAAATTAACTAGATTTCTCCTTAATAAGCTTAATCGTTTAACTCCTTTAGACTAGCCTTATAGGCTTAGAAGTTATATCCTAGAAGATTTCTTCTTCTTAAAAAAGGTAGAAGGAAATTAAGCTCGTTAAAAATTAAGGGTAAAAAGCTACCCTTTTTCGTTAAAGAATTTATATAGACCTATTAAGTAATTTTATCGTAAAATTTACTCTCTTATACCTCTTTATCTAAACGGTTAACTTCTTAATAATTAGGTATTCCCTCTATACCTTTTTAAAGGACTAGAATTATAAGAGGGTATTATAGATATTAAGGGAAGTACTAAAGATAAGGATAGCTAATTTTTCTAGGGGATAATTAAAGGGCTTTAATAGTTAGTCTTAGCCTTATTAATTCTTAGGGAAGATAGAGGCTAGATTTACTATACTAACGATTTTTCCTTATATTTACGGCGTAAATAAGGGTAGCGGCGTTAGTTACTATTTCTTAGTAACTTAAATCTTATTTATATTCTTTATAATAAAGGGTCCTCTTTAAGAGACTTTCTAATAACGTCTTTTAGTCCCTTAAGAGGCGTAATTTTAAAAGGTCGACTTTCCTTAAAGACCTATTAATAGTCTTTTAGCTAATAGAGCCTTTTATATGCTTAGTAAGTAGGTCGATTCCTTCTTATTTATTATCTCTTTAAAGACTCCTCGTTCTTATCTAAAAGGTCTACTTAAAAACCCCCCTTTTTTATACCTTATTACTAATTTTAATAAGGTTTAATTTTAACTAGTTCCTTAATTTTTCGACTAACGGACTAAAAGGTCTATTAAGGGACTAGTTAGGCCGGTCTAACTAATAGGGCTAGGCCCGGAGTAATAAGTAGAGCCGGGGCCGGGGCTAGAGCAGCCGTTAAAGACGGTATTAACGCTTTCGAGGGAAGAGGAGCTAGAAGGGCAGAAGTAGTAGTAGTAGCTAGGGCTATAGTAAGAGGGGCTATAGTAGCTATAGGGGTAGTAGGTCGAGCTATCTAGGTCGAGTACTAGCTATAAAAGAATAAGACTACTTATTATTATACTTTAGTAGCTTCTTTATTTATTTCCTTACTAGCTTCTTAAAAGATAGTTAGGTAACTATTACTAATAAGCTTTATTAATAGAGATATATCTTATAGCTATTAGCTAGAAAGAGCTTTTATTAGGAAGTATTAGTTAGCTTCCTTAAAGAGTTTCTTCCTACTTAGCTAGCTATAAAAAAGCTAGTAGGTTCTTAGTAAAAAAGGCTCCTAGGTATACTATATAAGGCTTCTTAATATAGTTAGTTATATAGCTCCTTAAGGGAGCTATTAAGGTCTTAAGCTTTAAAAGCTACTACTTAAGAGTTACTTTTTCTTAAAGAGAGATTAGCTTTATAGTACTAATAGATTCTATTATCGCTATATATATAGTAGTTAATAGCTTCGTTTTATATAGGTATTCCTTATAGTAACTCTTATAGTTACCTAAGGTAGTAGAAAAAGCTCTTTATTATATAGAGGTTAGCTTAAAAAGGAGGGAAGCTCCCTTTATAAATTCTATTACCTTAGGATAAAGAAGGGGCTTAAAAGGGTCCTACTTATTAAAAAATACTAAATTATAAATTATTCTATCTATATAAGCCTATAGCTCCTTTACTTACTTATCTTAATTTTAGGGCTTTATAAGAATCGTCTTATAGACTATAAGAGCGGTAAAAGAATCGTTTTTTAATATTATTATAAAAGAGGGTAGAAAAGTTAGTTAAATATTAGCTTTTCTTATAAAAGGGGTAAAAGTAAAGGGCTATAAAAGATATAAGAAAGTTGCCTTTTATAATAGCTAAAAGGTATAGTAATTTTATTCCTTCCAGCCTTATAACTCTTATAAAGAGAGATATAAGAAATATATAAAGGTAAAATTAAAAGTAAGGGGTTAGATAGGTAAGGTAGAGATATTTAAGTCTTATAAGGGTAGTAATTATAGTAAGGGAGTAATTATTATATTACCTTAATTATCCTTCTTTTTTCTATCTAACGCCCCTTTTTATACCTATTTAGTATCTTAATTAATAAAGAAGATCCTACTTAAAGAAGCTATTAATATCCTCTTAACTACCGAGCTTTTTACCGGTTTTTCCCTTCCTTTCTAGCTATTACCGGTATATCCGTTTTATCTCTCGCTACCTCTATAAGAAGCTATCGCTACTTTTACTTCCCCTCTTACCCCTACCCTCCTCTCTATACCTCCTTTTAGCTCCTTCTTTTAAACCGGTTTTTTAGCTTCCTTAGTCCCTCTTACTAAGGGATATCTCTAAGAACTACGAAATCAGGCCACGCTTCGCGACAGGATTAGGCCCTAAAGCTTGCTAGAAGAGGGAATTTTTCCCTTCGGTCGGCGTGGCGAGTCACCTATGACTCGAGAGCGGGGTATGCACGATTCCCTGCCGGTACCCTGCCGACACATTAATCCAACGTACCTAAATACTTTATCAGCTCGTACCTCCTAGTAGCACTCTTATAAAGAAGCTAACTTCTTACTATTACTCCCTTTATGCGTGGGCACAGCCACGTATACGTAGGTAGACACCTTACTTAGGGGGTCCTAGAAGTCCCTAAGACCTTATAGTATATTAGTAATAACTATATGCTATATATTCTTAATGCATAATATATAATTAATAGGGGAGATTGCGGTACGAAAAGATAAAATGGGATAACCGATTATGCATATTCTTTATGCATAATATATGATTAATATAGGAGATTGCGGTACGAAGAGATGAAATGGGATGACCGATTATGCTGTTAAAATGACTTGTCTGTTCCTGTGTGTCACGTAGGTATATAAAGACAGCCAGGAGTCTCCCTCCATTCCGAGGTCTTACAAGCAACCAATGTTTAGTCTACTAGTTGCATCTACATGCCATATCCATCATGAGCTTCGCCATCATGCCACGAGTCTTTTTCGTCTTGTGCTTGGCGGTTCTATCTGTTGCCGGCCAGTGGAGCGGAAATTACAACACGACGCGCGTGCCGCGCAAACTGGACCCTCCGGGCAAATGCTGGATCCAGAGTCTCGACAAGGCCAACGGGCCCTACACGGCCATCTACCCGTGCACCTGTACTGGCGGCAAGGTCTCGGGCGACTGCAGTTGGTTGCAGCAGGAAAGGGTGTTCAACCGTGTCGAGGATGCAAGCTGCAAGTGTGCCAAGACGCGAAACATAGACCTAGAGCCTGAGAGCCTGAAGGCGTATGGCCGGGGCCAGCCTGGGGCGGTGACGCTGTGCATCTGTGATCCCGTGGCCGGCAACGGAGACGACGGCACCGATGAGTTGCTTGAGTCAGCTCCCGACTGCTGGTGCCCGGCCGAGTCTCTCAAAGAGAAGAGCGGGATATCGGAGGCGAGGGAGAGCCCGGCCATTCCGGAGACGCTTCCTTCCGTTGACAAACAGTCGACCAATGAGCAGCCAGGACAGCAGCAGTCAGCTCCCGGATCTACCCAGCAGTGCCGAGACGATTTGAACAAGAAGCCGTTTCTTCAGGAGCCCCTCTGCAAGCAGTTAACGCAGCAGAAACCTACTGAACTTACTAAACCTTTGCAGCGCACTTTACCAAACTGCAGCATTTCTTCCCTTACTGATATCTGTAAAGATATTCTATAAAACTAAGAAGTTACCTTCGTTTTCCACTATAACCTACTTCTATAAGCAATAGACTTAAATCGCATAACGCTGCTAGTTGATGATTCCCTATAGGATATATAAAAGAACAAATATAGGGGCAACTTCTTTGCTATAGAATAGGCGACTGTTATACTAGCGCCTAGGCGCGTTTTTGCCCCGCAGACCGCTAAAATGGTTCCGTTCAAGTGCTATAGCATACCGCGGGACTGCTTCTCTTTCTAGCTCACAAATAGCGAAATAGCTAACTACAACCTTTCATGTTTTAATGAAAATATAACTCTGGGCTATTATCTGCTGTATGCAATATTTCTTGCTCTTAGCTGTCCTTTTTAATCCTTTGCTAGATCTCTTTTATGCCTTTTCTCTTATTTGCTAGGTGTGACGACCGGGATTCCGAAGGGATAAACCTGTCGTGGGGTTTATGTTGGCAGATGCACTAGGGCTTGGTCTGAGCAAAGAGATGTCACGTTGGTGATGACTCGGAGGTCGTAGACCGTAGACTGTAGCCAGGTGATCAGAATCAGAGATGAGACCGTGATAAAGATCGTTGTTGTGTGTTGAAAGCTAAAGAGCTATCTGTCTAAAGGAGTGAAAGTGGGTGGACTTATATACCCGTGGGAGAGTCCCTGGATCACCGTGGATCACCGTCGTGATCCAAGTGATCCTTAAGTCCTGCCGCTCCCAGTGAGCCGTGAGCCTGGACGCTCCAAGTGAGTCGTGATCCCAGGTGAGCCCAGTGAGCCACCTATGGATCGTCCTCATTGGCCTGTCATTCCGACCATTGTTCCGACCCGTGTCATCACGTTCATGACATTTGTTGGCCGTGGCCGTAACACTAGGGGACTGTCTCCTATTTCCTTCGCGACCTAGGCTTCTATGCGCTCGTCTTCTGCTTTACTCTAATCTAAATATACTATCTTCTCTTCCTTTATCTAATCTCTTAACCCTATTAAATTAATATAGAGCTTAGACATCTATTTATAGTCTATATACTACTCTTAAGTAGTGTCTTAAGAGTATAGTAGAAGAAATAGGGGCATAGAAAGGTAAATTAAGTAATATATATCTTTATCTATTTATTAAGATAAGAGAGAGGCTTATATAGGTATAGTAACTATATATAGCTAGCTAAAAGATAGTATTAAGATATTCCTATATATAAGTTAGGCCTATATAATATCCTTAGGCTAAGGGAGTTATATTAGTTAGGTAGGCTTCTTTATATATAACTATTAGGTCTACTAAGTATAACTATAGCCTCTTATACTTACTCTCCTTAATATACCCCCTTACTACCTTAGCCTTCTAGATAGTAAGGTAAATAGGTAGAGGGGCGTTCGATCGAATAAATATAAGGCTATTTTAATATTAAATTTAGTTACTTTACTTTTCGTTAAAGGAGGTTAGCTTAAAATAAGGGAGGATCTTAATAGTATTATATAAAAAGAAGGTAAATATAGTAAAAGGTAATATTATTTAGCGGCTAGTACTTTTTACCTTATAAGTATATTATACTAGCCGCCCCCTTTTACTTAAGGAGCGTTCGAATATTAATTAATTTAGGTTATATAATCTACTCTTTACTACTTAACTAATAGTTAAAGGTTATTACTATTAACCCCTCTTATAAGGGATATAGCTACTATATAGCTAGGTAAAAAGAATAGTATATAAAAGATAAAAGCTAAGACCTAAGGGAGAGGATATAGGGAGAAACCTCTTATTTCCTCTCCCCTTAGGTTACTAAGTTTATTACTCGCGCCCCCCTTAATATATAGTTATATAACCTACTCTTTCGCCTTAAAAGGAGTTAAACTTATAATTAATAGGGTTATATAACTAACTCTTACTATTTAACTAATAGTTATAAGTTATATTTATAACCTTCCTTATAAAGAAAGGCGTATTAAGGTATCTATTTAGGTAGCCTAGGTACTATAGTACTTATACTAGCGATATTATCTTTTAAGATAAAAGTAATCGTAAAGGTAGGCTTTCTAATAATATATTCTTTATATTAATTAGTCTTAATTTAGTAAAGCTATCGCGATTATTATAAGTCTAAGCGCTATAGTATTATACTAATTAAGGGGTAGCTTAGTAATAGCTTTACTTCTTAGTATTAAATAGGGCTAACCTTTACCCCTTAAATCTTTTTAGTTTCTTAACTAAATTAAGATCTAACTATACTATTAAAATCCTTTACTTTTAGTAAATATAGTAGTACTCTTATTATTAAGGTCTAGCGATTATTAAGTTTACTATAGTAAGGAGATATTATACCTTAATATAGTAGTTAAGTATATTATTTCTTAATATATCTTCTAGCTATATTACTAGCTTTAATTACTTAATAAAGCTTTAATACCTTAATTATATAAGCGCCTTTCTTATACTATTAGCTAGGTTATCTATTAATATAATCTAGCTAACTTATATCCGATCTTACTATACCTCTTAATAAAGCTAGTATTTATAAATATTAACGTACTTAAGGTTTATCTTAAGCTTTACGCTTAATTTAGTTAGAAGCTTAATAGTTTAAAGGTTATTATACTAGAACTCTATTATCTTTTTAATACTAATACTAAGCTCTTTAAATAGCCTATAAAATACTACTTATTTCTAGGCTATTTATAATAGTGCTAATAATTTAGCTTTTATAAAGGATAGTATTATAATAGCTTACTTAATAGCTTTTTAGTTAATTAGCTTACTAAGGAAGAGGAATATATATCCTTATAAGAACTTTTTAGTCCTTAGGTTATTAGTATATAAAGAGTTAGATATATATATTAGCTGCCTTATTAAGCTTATTACTATATAGTAAATATAGCGGTCTCTTATATAATAAAGGTAAGCAAGGCACTTATATACTTTATACTTATAATATAGCCTTAAGTTATAATTATATTAAGCTAGCTTTCTAGCTATAAGTACTATATTTAGCTTAGTATAAATTACTAGATAAATAAGTATAAGAATATACCCTTATATTCCTATTTTACTATTATAAAGAAATAATAGGCATAGGGAGGCCTTATAGAATAAGCTAGTAAAAAGAGGTTTTATAATATAGTCTAAGGAAATAACCCTTAAAGATAAAGACCTCTACTAGATATCTATACCTTCCTCTAAGAAACGCGGGTTAGGATAAGCCTATCCTTATAAATAGAAATATACATAAAATGCATAGGTTATTTACGAGCAGAACGGATACCCTATTGCCTATTTTGGCCTAGTGGTTCTAAAGATATCCGCGATACGAGAATAGGTAGGGCATAGAACATTCTAGTTAAATCTACTACTTATGCTAGAACCTATAGTCTTACGTTAACTATTACGCTACAATTAGACCACCTACTAAGTTAGGAAGATATACTATAGATAGAGCTTTTTAAGCACTATAGAATATACTAGAAAGCTAACTAATTAGTCTACTAGTAGGCGAGCAATAGTCTATAAAAGACGAAGGATTTCCCTAGGAGTAGTAGATAGAATAAGTAAGTTTATAAGCATTCTTTATAACGCTATTCTTTTAATATATTATTTAGCCCCTTATATGCTCGTTATAAATTCCGGACGAAATCCTACCCTATACTCCTTCGACCGATCTTTCTACTTACGTTATCGATTACCCGATTCTACGCTTATTACTTATACCTTCTTATAATAAGCGGCCTAATTAAAGAGATATATTTATATATCTCTTCCTTTAAGGCTTACTTCTTATAAGGGACGAGCTCTTTTATTATTAGTAGGACTTTAAGGTTATAATAGATATTATTATTAAGTATATAATATTTCTTTACGGTCTTAAAGATATAAGAAGCTTATAAAAGCTATATCTTCTTAAGTACCCTATCCTTAAAAGTCTTAATACTAAGGAACTAATATAGTTCTCTTATATATATAATAGTATATTTCTTTATAATAGCTTTATATAGTTGTTTTTAATTTTACTTTTATCCTTAAGGATATATTATAACGGTATTATTAATAAAGAATAAGATAATAATAACCTTATAAATTAATATATAAGCGTTTTTTACTACCTACTAAGCCCTTAGTTTTATAAAGAAACTAAATATCTCTTTAAACTATAGCCTTAAGGAGATATAAAGCGTATATAGTACTTTTAATAGCTTTAAGCATAGCCTAAGTATTAAGAATCTTAGTAGAAGCTAGTAATAGACTTCTTAGTATAGGATTATATATAGAAATACTATTATAATTATCGCGAAGCGTAGCCTAATTTTATAGTTCTTAGAGATATCCCTTAGTAAGAGGGACTAAGGAAGCTAAAAATACCTAGTATAGAAGAAGGAGCTAAAACGAGGTATAAAAAGGAGGGTAGGGGTATAAGGGGAAGTATAAGTAGTAAGAGATAAGACGGATATACCGGTAAACGGCTAGAAAGGAGGGGAAAAACCGGTATAAAGCTCGGTAGTTAAAAGGATATTAGTAGCTTCTTTAAGTAGGATCTTCCTTATTAATTAAGATGCTAGACAGGTATAAATAGGGGCGTTAGATAAAGGAAAGAAGGATAATTAAGGAAATATAATAATTACTCCCCTACCTTTATTACTACTCCTATAAGAATTAAATCTCTCTTCCCTACCTATCTAACCCCTTACTTTTAATTTTACTTTTATATATTTTTATATACTTCTTATATCTCTCTTCGCGAGAGTTATAAGCCTAGGAGGAATAGTATTCCTATACCTTCCGGCTGCTATAAAAGGCACCTTTTTTATATCCCTCGTAGCTTCCTTTAACCCCTCTTACTAAAAAAGCCGATTTTTACTTAACCTTTCTACCCTTCCCTATAATAATAAC